ACAAATATTTTGCTCATATCTTTTGATTTATAATAGTTTGCGAAGGAACAAGTGAATACAACTTTCAATGATTTTAAAGAACCAAATGTATCTTCAAACAGCAACTAAATTTAAAGTTTCATAATTGTAAACTTACCCGAGATGTCGTTTCAAGGTCTGTTTAATGACAAAAAATATCACACGCGCTAATATTAATGGCGTATACTGATCACATTGCATCAGCCAAAAAACAAAAACGCTTCAGTTGGATAGATTTATAGTTAGTGACCAATCAAAGAAATCACACAACCGAATGAGACTACTAGATTAATTTGATAATGTTTGACATCGAAGCTACTAAATAATTTCTCCTCGTGATCTTACTGCGAACGAGGACTATAGTAGTTAGGAAATTTATGGTTTCATTTGAAGAATATTTGATGATTTTTTAGAATCTGGGAGGCGTGAAGTGTCTACCTTCTGACGTACGATGAAAGACACGCGGGTTAAACGAAAAGTCTCGGAGCTGTGTGCCAGCGAATACCGGAAGAATTTCGCCCCTGATTCAATGTATTTATTAACTTGCGTTTTTTTTATATTTTGGGAACTGTCGATTAGGGGACTCGCATTAATTAAAAGCTATTGATTAGGGGACTCGCATTAACTAAAATGGTGATGTGAAATTTATCGAAAACTCTACTGTACTTGTTCAATGAAATCAGATTCTAAAATAGATAAAGGTATTTTTTTTTGTTGTTTTTTTTTTTAATTCATGCGAAAATTAATAATTGGGGATTAAAGTTCGGTACTTCATCTTATTATTACTGGTATCAGTAAAGTACATAACAGTTCAGAATAAGTGTGTATAAGGAAAATGAGAAGATTGTTCAGTATTTGAAGTATATTCCATTATTATGAAATTTCACATAATACTATAAACAGAATAATAACTTAAGCCTAAGCAAGTATGTAAACGAAAAACAATACACATTAATTAAAAATAAAAATCCAGATATAGCTCTTTCTCCATTAAAATTGTTCTTTAATATTGAGAAGCAACTCTTTTTAACTAAAAAAAAAAGTGACACTCCCTATCTTTATCTGTTTTATATGGTGCTGGTACTATTTTTTACGCGTGAAATTCTGTAAATATGTCGCATTAATATCAATATTATTTTCATTAATTTTTCCATGACTAATGACGGAATATTTCAGACAAAAAATAAAAGAAAAAAACTTCGATTATCCTGTATTACTGTTTTTATCTATTTAGGATTGATGATTTAAGCTAAACATATTTTGTAATACTTTTTAATTATTAATAATTTTAAAAAATCGTTAAATTTTACTTTACAAGTGTGGTAAAAACTTGTATTCAAATTACAGAAACAAATGACGTGAATGAGCATGTGCTTGTAATTGAAAGTAAATCATACCTGAATAAAGGTTAATTTCGCTATTTTTACCAGCAACCTGCTGTTTTAATTTTTTACCAATAAATATTTCTTCATCCAGAAAATGTTTGATAAACAACAGTGACAAATACGTAGAAACCAGAAACCATATACACCTATAACTATTAGGGCAAAGCAGGAAATCCGAAATTGTAAATTAAACATTTGGAAATCTATCAAAACGTCTTAAATTGATAGAAACAACGTGTATACTGACATATTGCAAGTTAACTAAAACGTTTAGTTATAATAATTGCAAATTTCACTTTTATTGTTTTCGTGTACGTCATCCAAGCTCCCTTATCACGTACTTAAATGTTTTTAGAAAGTATGAAGTTTTTTTTTCTTCTTTACTTGTTTCTTTTCTTAATGCAGTGTTTAAGTAAACATGAGACGGTTGTATTTATAACCAAGTTCTAAATACAATGAGGTTCCAATTGTAATAATTATTATCTATTATTGGCTGGTAATTCCTGTTTTATCCTGTACTTAAGCCTTTTAAACGAACACCATTTTTCTGTAAAAAAAACTAACTTCAAGGAGTAATAATAACATCGTTTACACTAGAATTACGATTTTTTTATTACTACTAGTTAATAATACTTATAAAAGCCGATACTCCATTTGAAGCTATGTCACCTCAGTGAATTTGGTTGACACCATTGTTTTGGTTTTTGAGTTATGTAATAAAAAAAGAAGTAAAGAACAAAAAATTCAAACGTTTTGCTATATTTTGACATTCCCAGAACTTGTGACTCAGTCATTAAATATATACTGTTATAGAAGGAAACACTGTAAAGTATTGATGACTTACTGAGGAGATATTTAAAATACCAATTCGATGAACAATCCAAGCCATCCCTACATAGGCAGTGCTGCCGTCTGCCTGCTATTGTCATTAATAAGCAATAACCTTATATTAAAAACACAAACGCTCTAATTTTCGTTAACAAAACGTGTTTATTGCTCTACCATTAAAATATTCTTAATTACTCTATTGTCTATCAGGTTTTCTACACATATGATTTAACTTAAAACGAAACAGAGGTGTATAAAATAAAAAGTCACGATATCACGCTTACATTCCATGAAATTGTAGTCCTATAAACTTATCAGGCTTTGCCGATAAAATATAACCTGCATGAATTGATGGTAGTGGTGAAAAGAAAAGGAAGAAAAACTCCCACTCTACTAAACATATTATTACTCACATTGATCAGCTTTGTATTACGCGCTGACGTAATAAGGAACAGGGATGAAATTGGTAACTTTAATTAAATAATTAGGCAGTGAACCATTGTATATTAGTTGGCTTAGTACGAAACCACAAAAATAACTGTTGATGTTGTCATAATATTATCACCTTGGAAGCAAGAAACAATTTAGTTTATTAATGTTAATATGACAACGACGATGAGCTGGGAGAGCTCTGGACTGTAGTTCGTAAAATTGAGGACAAACTTGGTAAGTTTAAAATCGCTATCTTAAAAAACTAAATTTTCATAACTGTAAATCTACTATTTACAAGCCATTTTTTGTAATTACTCTTCTCGACATATTTGGTTTCACATGAGGTATAAAACTGATTTTAAATCATAGCAATTAACATAGTTATTCTTGTCGGTGAAAGGGAAAGCATAACAATTAAACAAATTAGTAAATATATTTCACCAATTCGCATGCTTGATTGTACAACATAAGGCTTACACAAAACAAGTAATGAATACTTTACAGAGAGCGTTTCAGTTAATAATTCCAAAATCTTTACAATATCAAACTAGAAAAATGTTTTTCATAAAAAAGTATGTTAAACACTTTCAAAAATAAAACGTTGTAATAAGTTAATATAGTTCATGTTTGATTTTGTAGTTTCGATCACTCGTCAAGGACTTGTATTTAAATCACCATCATCGACTATTGCAGCACAAGTTCTCATCTCAAAGATTTTGAAAAAAAAAATTAGACTAGCCAGTCTATACATTATACTCTCGTATCAAATAAAAAAATTAAACGTCTATTGTTTATTTACTTCTGCAATGGAAATAACATTGAAAGGTTTCTTACCTAGTTTTAAGACTAAAGAAAGGACTGTACAGATAATTAATGTACAAAAAAGAAAAACACTTTCTTTGGACTCCTTGTTTAGGATAGATAAACCATTATCACTTTGAACACTGAATAAACAGGAAATACTTTCTATTTTCCTACAAAATGTAGTACATAAAGCAAACATTACATATCTTTCAATGGCAATATATGCTAACAGTTTCAACATAGGAACACCCCAAAACAGTTCACTGCTTGCAAAACCTCACTTTTAACTTTTCTCACGGGGTTAAAGAGTACTTTCAAAACATATAGGTAAAAGTCTTATGAGTGACCTATTCAATCAGTGACAAACTTAACCTAGAATTAAAATGGTCGATATTTCACTATTCAGTGTGTTACATGTTTTCTTGTTAAAAAACATTACATTCTTTTTTTATTTGAAACTGCTAGCTTTTATCAAACAATTAACCATTTTAAGTTTTGAACCATTATTTTTCTCTTTGTATGTCTAAGAGAACATCTACACATAAGTTTTGTTTGATATGGGATATTAAATGTGGGAGTAAATGTTATCACTTCCTACAATACAGGATTAATTCATTTTACTTAATACTCTTAATAACAAAGTATGCAATCAAATTGTGCAGTGATATGATTATTGTGGATTTCATTATAGAAGTTTCTATTAAATTATTTTCTGCTAAGACAAAATCAATTCTGGAGAAATATACTCTTGCACATTTCTACATAGTTATGAAGATTTGTATTTATAACATATCATCAATAAGTCAACTGTTCTATTCAATTGACATTTTAAAGCCCCAATGCTGGTGTTAATGTGATAGTGCTTAATATCTTTTTAAGCATTTTATAATTTTGTCTTGGTAGCTGAATTTTGTATTAGTCCAATGGCTTTTTTAAGCCTTTAAATACTCTAAAGATTTGTCTGCTATGTTAAACAGGCAGGTCATGTTACATTTGGATTGATGCATTCCTTATGTAAACCATAATAAATTCCACACACTGAAACACATAGATGAATTTTCAAGCTACTTAATAAAAGTTGTACCTTCTAAGCATAACATACAATGACACGTTAATTGATGTAAAAGAAAAGGTCAAGATTTTATACAAAATAAAGGAATAGGAAATTTATACTTTTTATGATGAATAAAAGTGTATTTAGTGCTATTGTTGTTTTCATAACTTATGTTCTTAAGTTAGAATGTAGTATCTTATACTTAGACTGATGATTCTTCAGACTGTTTGCATGGAGAAAACCAGGGAATCACACTGAGCTGCATTTTTGGTTCTATCCAAGGCACTACTAGAGTTAATGACTGGTGAACCACAGCTAAGATTACACTAACTAGTAGCAGCTTTGTGCTACATATTGAAGGAAAGTTTATTATTATTTATATATATATATATATATATATATATATATATATATATATATTATATATATATA